TTGTCTTAAAAGCGTTAAAGACATGTATTTTCTGTCATTAACATTCACAATTGTGGATTTTTGTGCTTATAGAATTGATTTCACCTTCACTAACCTCTCATTAAACAACTTTCCAAAAATAAAACGTTTTAAGACAATTTAATGGAAAATGTAAATATATATAAAAAAAACATGTCCTAGCAGCAACATCGCCAAACCGAAACAGCTGAAGCTGTAAACATTAAAATATGAGCTTTAGCAATTAATTTTATTTTATTATCTAAACTATTTAGCATGACGTTTTCCAAATTCAACCCCCAAGAAAGCAAAATAGACATTAGAAAATTATTATTTCTGCTTTTGTTATACGGACAGGGATCAACTTCCCTTCTGTAGCATGCATTGTAAATTAGTAGAAAATAAATAAATATTGATAATACTGTTAATTAGAAAAAATTATTATCTGAATGAGATCAGATTGATTTGTATTCAAGTAATAAATTATATCCAAGGAGAATATTAAATATTCTGTACAAACTGCAATACGTACCTACAGTGTCAAAAATATATTTATTATAGACGTAGCGATTATTTTACCATCATCAAATGATATTAAAATTTGAAAGAAATAACAATTATCACTGGTCTAGTTTATACTTGTGTGCAATTTATCGTCTTATTTACTATTTTTGGAAGATACTGTACACACGATCTCGATTAAACAATAGGAGAATACAATGAAGATTTTCCGTTGGTAAAAAGATGTTATCGCGATTGTAGAATGGGTGATGAAACAGGCATCTAATCATGCAAGTCCAGACAGACAACGATCGGTAGTCACAAAAGATATCCACTCNTACCTACAGTGTCAAAAATATATTTATTATAGACGTAGCGATTATTTTACCATCATCAAATGATATTAAAATTTGAAAGAAATAACAATTATCACGATGCCATTGATGTATATCAAAGCAATAAATACGTTTTGACCTTCAACCATTAATATTTTACGATCCCTTTGAATTAAACAACTGACCTACCAATTAAAACCTATCATTAATTAGGAAAAGTAAGATCTTCTGGTATTTTATTTCCCCTGAAGTTAATAACGTCTAAATTTATGGAATTTACTTTAAATTATCATAACATTTGCCCGCATAAGCAATTTGTTTACTAAAGGCTTGTTGTTTTTTTTTTAGTTAATTACTGATATTTAATTGGCCACTCGCTTAATTAACTTTTCAGTACCCAGACGTATTTTTATGGTTTTCACCATAACTTCCCGATTAGTAAATTAAAAAAATGCAAAGGAATTTTAAAAGTCTCTTCAATTAACCCAAACATTCAAAATCATGTAACGTACAACATCAATTTGAAAAGGTATTCATTGGATTGCGTCATTTATATGAAATACTGAATGTCTTTTTCGACGTAAAAATAACTTCTTTAATGTAATATTCTCGCTGTGTCACATGGTTCATTTTATTGCTCGCATCAATTTATATCTTTTTCGTTTCGGTGAAGCGTATAGCCACCACGGTGGCACAAGACGTTGAACAAGTCAGTATGTCATCGCCACCTGTGGGTATGTTAAACTTTAAAGAAAAATATCCCGAAAATAAATTTCAAATTACCATAAAATGGACAACATCCCCCCAGAGTTGACATTTTATACGTCTCTTATTCCGCCAGCGACTAACAACTTCATCCACCTAATTGTTTACAACCACCCATCAACATTTTCTAGATGTGTGGTAATTATTTTAAAAACAATATTAGTCTAACCCCACAAACCACATCAGAAACAATTTCAATGAATTTTTATAAAATTCGCTTCTTTAAAAAATATATGTCTATGACAAACTAGGAGAAATTTCAAGAAAACATTAACAGAATTAAAAACGTAACATTAAAAGCCAGACAGATTCCACCTACACGCCAATCATGTTATCTGTTTAATAATAAAATTTAAAAACCAAATAAAGGAAATAAAAGTAATACAAATTAGTAGAGAATTTGGAAATATATTACTAAACGACCAAACAGAATGTAATAATTCCCCACTTTTAAATTTGTTCTGAACTACCCCTACTAACATTGTAGTTACTATTATAGTAAGTACTAGAAGTCTGGTGACTACTTTTTATATAATAAACACCTACTTACTGTTACAGTAAGTACTCAAACTCTGATGAAGTCAAGAATGGCGAAACAGTTGTTACTTTTTAAATAAAAGTGTGCGAAAATCTTGAACATTTATTTTTATTCTTTGATGTTACATATTTCAAGTTTGGCATAAAATGCGGTATTTTTTGTATAGTTTTGTGTATTTTTTGAAAAATAGTATATCATTTTTTTAGTATTGGTTCATTAACTCTCCACCTGTCGTCAAAAAAACTTTTCAGTTACGTTTCCTATATATGCCAGCGTAATAAGGGATCAAAGTTGTTGTTAACCGCAATAAAATTAATGAAATATGTAGTACGTAGATGATGAGAAAAATATAATTACGAAAATGTTATACCTAGGCGTTACAAATTTCTGTACAGTCTTTTGTAATATCCCAAGCAATTATTTTGCTTTACACCAAACTAGTATTTGTGTGGTATAAAGGAGTATGAGGCTACCAACTTCAATATCGCACACTTATCTACCCCCTATTACAAACCACGACGAAAATTCGATCATTAAGGATAAATATAGGGGTGGCTAAAATGCTTCCATCAGAATTCTTATTATTTCTGAAGGTTTGCGATAAATCTCGTGTAAATTACAACGTATTAATACATGCTAAAATTGCAACGAATTGACTTACCCTTCTCCCCCTTGATGCACAGGCACTTACACACACATGTAGGGATATTATTATATTAAATGTTTCAGGCGAACTTTAAACGCTCTTCCTTATTTGGAAGAAAATTGATTTAATGACCGTTTCCCAAAATCATTAAAAATCTGGGTTTTTTGTTTTATTGTTACGAGTTAATGTTGTTAAACACAATAACATCAAAAATTACTAACATGTCACCGCAAACGATAGCCTACTGTCTCTGTTACATTATAGTAGTTACAACAATCATACATAAACATGAACTTATTTTTTTATTTTATTTTTATGTTATTATGTAATATTATTTACGTGAAATCAATTAAATAAGTACATAATATATACCCCTGGGATTGGACGACAACGA